AATGATGGACCTAGCTCATATTTGGACCGGACCGAACCTGACCAAATGAACCAAATGCAAGAATAGTTCGGTCCTTGATCCTAACATGTTACATGTCTTTCACTAATGGACCGCGGTTCTCATAAGTTTGGTCCGGTCCGGACCGAACCGTTGCACACCCCTAGAATTACGCATTCTACCTTCTGACCGGGACGACGACGTTGAGCCTACATGTCTCGTTCTGCCAGCGAGGAGCGCTGCGCGCTTCCTTGTGAAACTCCTGTCTCCTCTCCTCTCCTTTGCTTCCGATCTGGAACTGACTGAACTTTACCTCTGTAGCGCCAATGGCTGCTGCTCCGCAATCGCAGCTTTTCTTCGTCTCCTTCTCAAGTAGCTAACTACTCAACAGCTTTCAACACCAAAACACATACGAAGAAGTGAAGGATCCAGGTTCCGGCGCGGGGAAAGAAAACAACAATGCGACCTCAGAAGTCTATCAGTAGATTGCCGCCGGTGCTTCATCTGGGCTGCATCGCGGCGTTCTTCTTCTTCGTCTTCTTCTTCTTCATTCAATCTTCTTTCTTCTCAGGTTACTCCTCTCCCCCTTTCGTCTTCCGATTCCGCACTTGTTGTTTGTCTTCTTATAATTCAATCCTAAGTTCCCAGTTCCACTTTCCCTATTCCAAATCCCTAATGAGTCCAATGGTTTTCTCGCTTCAGGTAGTAAGAAATCAGATCCCAACACAGAAGGGGACAAGCGGACCCTTTCTCAGTTTCAGTCCGCCGTTCAGCAATGCGTGGTTAGTGAATTTCACTTTTTCATGTTCTTGAACTGTTTCCAATTGGATGCGAGCTCGTTACGGGATAACCTTGGTGACGTTCTTCATTCATTAGTATTGAAACTCACATAGCGGCAGAGATGGGAAGCATCCCATTTCTTGTTTTTCGATTTGTCTCGGTCACATATCAGTTCTTGGAACTCCTGATGGCATCTGCTTCCATTTCTTGTTGTTCCGCTGCATCACATTTCAGCTCTTAGTACTCTAGATGGCATCTCACTAGCGCATCTGTAACATGTAGGCAAACAGGGGGCTTGGTCTTACTGCATTGATCACCGATCATTGTAAAATGACTCTCAAGTTCCCAGAAGGCACCAACAGCACTTGGGTTTGCTGCTTCTTATCATCTCGTTTGTGTTTACTCAGAGCATCATGATTCATTTAGATGTTTGAAATCCTGATTTTAGTGGTTCTTATTGCAGTACAATGCACAGTTCAAGATTTTTGAACCATTGGAGTACCATTATGATATTTGTGATACACTCATGTTGTGGGAACAGGTTGGTGCATCTTTGTGTCCCTTTCTTGTTCTATTGGTTGTTCAGCTTCATGACGTGTGCTGATGTCTTTAGAGTTGCAGTATCGGAACATGACTACTGTGCTGACACGAGAATATCTTGATACTCGCCCTGATGGGTGGTTTGATTATGCAGCAAAAAGGATATCTCAGCTGTAAGATCTTAGTCCTGCCTCGTGGTTTTTTTTTTTTTTTTTTTCCTCTGAGATTTTGGGTTGCTTGCCTTAGAGCCAATGCAAATTCAGCTTATTTTGCTTGGTTACTCTAATGGCAGGGGAGCTGAGAAATGCTACAACCGTAGTCTGTGTGAGGAAAACCTTAACGTGATATTACCAGCAAGGCCACCTTTCCACCCTAGGCAATTTAAAACCTGTGCTGTTGTTGGTAATTCTGGAGACCTTTTGAAGACAAAGTTCGGTACAGAGATTGATGGTCATGATGCTGTTATAAGAGATAATGAAGCTCCTGTTACCCAGGTAAACATGAAGCAGATTTCATGTGCACTTTCCATTATAGCTTAAGGTTGGCAGGATAGCAAGTTACAGTTTTTCCCCAAGAAGAAACTACAGCTAATGTGATGAATGAGATATTGATAGGGTTCTCCCTCTACACGTATCACCATGATAGTTACTATATGTTGTGGCCTGTTTCTCCATATTTTTGAAAGTTCAAAACAACCTACATCAAATGCAACTGAGCTTTTCGTGTATCATGTAGAAATATGCACCACATGTTGGACTGAAGAGGGATTTCCGCCTTGTGGTTCGTGGTGCTGCTGCTAATATGGTCAAAATTTTAGAAGGATCTGGTGATTGATTCTGTTATCCCTCAGCTTGTACTTGCTTTTCCCCACCTTCGTTCGGCCTTTTATTTTGCCTAGCTTGATATGTTTAACCTCGTGTGTTTTTGTTGTTGTTGTTGCAGATGATGAGGTGCTTATCATTAAAAGCATGGCCCACAGGGACTTCAATGCATTGATAAAGGTTAAAATGACAATCCAAATTGTAGTTTTCAGACAGTTAATGAAGCGAGCTCCCTATTTTGAGCTCAGCTACAAACACATCAAGTGTAAACCAGATTTCTCTATTTGCTATTCATTTGGATTCCTTGAAACCTAGAATGGTCTCCCACTCCCATTGTAACCATATCAACATTTTTCTATTCATTTGAAGTAGGCCTCGCCTTAATATTTTATCTCAAGAATCGCTAGAACTTTTAGGCATTGCTTGCCTGCTCTGAACTTCATTGCACACATTCCAACGTGGTTGTATTGATGTTTAATTGTGTGCATTACAGACTATTCCGAACCCTGTTTATCTCTTCCAAGGGATCGTGCTGCGCAGGGGTGCTAAAGGAACTGGGATGAAATCTATTGAACTTGCACTTTCAATGTGTGAAATTGTTGACATATACGGTTTCACGGTTGATCCTGGCTACACTGAATGGTAAGCTGAATAATCATTTACCCAATTACTTATCTGTTTGCCTGAGTATTGGATTCTCCAATTTTCTTTGCTGTCTGCTTGCTGTAAGTGTAGAACTTGAAAATTGGAGTGCATTTACCTCAGCATCAGCATATTTCCTTCTTTTACTTTGTTTTCTTTGTTGCTTATGGCAACTGCTAACTTTTGCAGGACAAGATACTTCTCTACTCCACGTAAAGGGCATAATCCACTTCAAGGACGAGCATATTACCAACTCCTAGAATGTCTTGGTGTACGACTAATTAATCCTTCTAAACACTCTGTACAATTCATTTCTCCTGGGCGGCATCTTGATAGAAGTTTTGTCTTTGGTTGTGCACAGGTCATTAGAATCCACTCCCCCATGAGAGCTCAGAGGAAGCAAGACTGGTCCAATGTCCCAAGCCGAGAAATGGTATCCAGAGCACATGCAGCAGCCATGCGGTTGAAGCTTGGAGAGGAGATCGCAGGGTTAGGTCAGTTTGGAAAATGCAAGGTGTGGGGTAGTGCAGATGCTGCCAACAACGGGCCTATCTCTGGATCTCCTGACATGAGTGATGTAAGGAAATATTCGAACTACAGTAAGTGGGAGACGATGCCGTTTCAAAGTCTTAGACGAGAGGCACGGGATCATTATGCCCAGATGGAGGATGTGTCTTTGTACAAGATGGATGGCAATAAGTTGGACGATCTGGTATGCGTCAGGCACAAGTCAGAATCTTCAGTATGATTAGAGGTCTCGACTTATCAGTTAAGTGAACTGCAAGAGCCTTTTTGGTGCATGTGCGCGGAGATTGAGAAGAGAATACAAAGGATGGTTTCCAGTGTCCAGTTTTGATGTTCAATTAGCTCCAACGATGGTGATCAGCTCAATGGGTTCCATTTTCAATTTAGCTGTGTGCCGGTGTAAGCGGATATTATTTGTATGAACCTTATTGAATGAAAACTTGTGCACCTTAGGATGTATTTAATGTAATCAAAGACAGCAGCAGTTAAAGATAAACAGGACAGCCAGCATGAGCACACGTTCAGAGTAGGCAGCAAAAAAATCTTTCAACTTCACCACTTTCCATTTCTACAATCAGCATTCAGCAATGCATGCAGTAGCAGGAGATCGCAATTTTTCATCAGGGTGGAGGTCAAATGCATATCAAAAGCAATATAACAGTCAGCTAACTTGTCACAAATTATAACATGTATAGTAGACGAATTGGATTACTGCAGTTGAAGAATCAGTTATTCATTTATCATCAATCAAGCCGCCTTGACATTCTTCTGAGACTTAACTCATCAGATTGACAGCCAATCTACCACGAACTAACGATCGACGTTACATTTGGTTAGAGCTATCGAGGGTCTCATGTACTGAAACAAGGGTCAAGACCCTTGGTTACTTGAGATGCAGCGGCATCTTACCTGATTAACTGGATAGTAGGACTTAACTAGTACTATACATCCTGCAAATGAGCCGCGTCGAACCGAGCTTTGTCCCAGGTTAAGCTTGGCTCATTAATAAATAATAATATAGCTCGAGCTCATTTATTAACGAGCCGAGTCGAGCTCGAGCTCGAGCTAGGCTTCTTTACAAAAATCTTAATTCATGTTTGATACATTCATTTTGTATGTTATGTATGATACATGTGATAGATGTCATGTTGAAAAAAAAATATAATCAAACGTTCAACAGTAACTAATCTCATGTTCTACTCTATTAGTATCAAACTATTTAGTTAATAAATATTAACTTGTCCAAATCTTGTTATTTTATAGTATTGAATCAATCTATAATACATAATTTCTTTTCATAATTAAAAGACACATTTGCTTACATACTTAACATCTTAAACATCATATAGAGTAAAATATATAGTTTAACAAACCTATGAATTATCAAAATTCAAATGAGGACCGATTCTGTGATAAGTTGGTAGACGGATTACCTCTCTAGTCACAATGTTAAGACATCTTATGAGCTCTAAACGAGCCAACTCACGAGTTTAGCTCAACAAGCAACCGAATCGAGCTAGCTCATAAACTTCGCGAGCTGAGCAAGATGTAGCTCATCAAACTCAACCCGTTTATAAACGAGATGAGCCTCAAGCCACTCGCGAGAAGCTCAGCTCATTTACAGCCCTTAGGATTGTGAGCCAAACATCACAAACCAAGTGAGGCTGAACTAAAGCTGAAGCTGTAATTATATCATACAACAACGCGCAAATCAGCATAATCCTGACGCCCTACAGATTATGAATTACCAACTCCATTTTATGAATTACCAATAAAGAAAAGGAAGGCTAGAAGCCCATATCCAAATCTCTTACAAAACTAAGACCCAAAGTACAACAAATAACACCACCGCACCGCCATGAACCCCTTTCAAAAACCATACATAAGTAGAACATCCATTATAGCTATCGATCAGTCGGCCTACAACGAAGTACAGCAGCAATCCATCACCATCAGTTTACCAACATTGAGCTTACCTCAGAAACTTACAACGTCCACACAAACTCCGGAGCATCTCTCCTCTGTCCGGCCAAAGTACGGTACAAATACATCTTCTCCACCTTCTGCCTATCATCATCGCACCCACCAACAAACTCCATCTGATCATTCTCATTTATAATCTCTACATTTAACCCGGGCATCCTCTTTGCTAGAGCCTTGCACCCTCCCAGCGTGACCTCACAGGACGACATCCAAAGGGATCGCATTGTCTCGTACTTAGCCACGTCCATCAGAAGCGCCGCATTACCAAAGGGACTGTCCCTTATCTCCAGCTTCCTCAGCTTCTTGCAACCCTTTAGCACGTACTGCATCCCTTTGTCGCTGTCCCCTGCAAAGGCTATCGACAGCATCTCCAGCTGCTCTGCATACATCCCAATGTAGAGAAATACTTGGTCGGTCAGAAGACCAGAAAGGGACAATCTTTTCAGATCCTTGCATGCTTGGACTATTGCACCGAAACCTTCATCGAGCGGCTGCTGGGTCACTGCATCAGGTTTTGTGGGGTCCAGGATGCAGAGCCTGAACCGGACAAAGTTAGGGCAGTTCTTGGCAACTGTTATGAGTGCAGCATTGGTCATCTGTTGGCAGAAGTAAAGTATCGAGTTGAGCTTCTGGCAGCCTCTTGAGATGGCGACCAGGCCTTCCTCTGTGACAGCTGCTTGTCCAACATAGGGATCAGATGGAAAGACACGTAACTCCTCAAGGTCTTTGCAGGTCGAAGCTACGACTTCAAGCCCTTTATCACCAATGCAATCTAGTATCTGCAATAAGAAGGCAGGAAAGATAATCATTTAGAAGAGATATACTAAAAATGCCAATAACTTTAAGATCATCTGCATCCCCAGACTGCCATGCCAAAAAATTCAGCAATTACTTTATTCAACAATTTCAAGCCAGTACATCCCTGCAAGTGGATTGAAATTCCAATCCATTATCTAGAGAGAAAAGGCAGTACACAAGAAAGTCAAAAACTTTAAAGATATAAAAAAAAAAAAGCGATACCCATAAGCGCTGGAGCTTGTGGCAGTGACGAAGGAGCTTTATGAGCTCGTTATCATAAATTCCTGGGGCATAGCTCAAGTTCAAGGAGGTCAAGTTAGGGCAGATAATGTGGAAAGCGGACAGGCAATGGGGAGCAACATCCAGAAACCCAGACAGACTCCTAACAGATTTACACTTCTGAATGGCGGTTACAAGTTTATTGTAGTTCTCGGAATCTGGATCATGAAGATAAGAGCCGACTCCCAAATCCAACAATTGGGGCGCTCGAATCAGTATCCTCTGAAGTACATCAAGAGGTACTGCACGGCTCAACCTCAAGCTCTTCAAATTGGGGGATCTAGCTACGAGCCTTTCGAGAGCAGGCAAATTAATGTCTCCTTTGAGGCACGCAAAATTGAGTGAGACAAGAGATGTGCTGCTTTCAGGGAAGCAGCTGAGCCAATGCCCTCTGTGATCCTCGACATCATTTTCTTGCAAGTCCAGCTCCTTCAGTTGCCTGGGTTTTGACAACAAAATGAAGAACACAGCAGTCACAACACAGCTTACAATTTTTAGTTACTACGCACTAAATCTACAACCAAAGACGAATCAGACAAGTTCTGCTCTTTTTCAATTCCTATCAACTTGAAACCAAATCAGTTCATAAAAAATAACTCATTTTCGGCACTCCCCACATCAAGTTTGCCAAAACGAATAGCAAACAACATAAGCCAGCAATTAAGGGATTAAAAAGGTGAAAGCTTTCTCAAATGAAGGCCAGGAATCACAATGAGCATCACCAAACTAGATCCATCCATTCATTAGCCATCAACACAACACCAGAAGAAACAAAATAGTACCCAAGCTGAGCTATGTTCCCAGTCAACCTTACTTTCCAAAAGCAGGCTTCTTTGCTAGATTGGAAGCAAACTGAGAACAGAACTGCCCTGCTTGAACTGACATTCTCACCAATTGCCACAATTTGGAAAAAAAATCTCACCAAAAATAGCAATCCCAGGAGCTCATTCTTAGTTCAGCAAAAATACTCTAGCTAGATTGCATCAAGAATGAATAAGAAGAGACAAAATCAGAGAGAGGAGAGGGAGAGAGAAAAGTTTAAATCTTTCCGTTATCTTACCTACAATAAGCAGCAACAGCTGCTAACCCATCAGTTGTGAACCCTTCACAGCTCACCAGAACCAAAGACTTGAAATTAGGGAAAGACCTAGACAGTAACTCCAAGCTTTCATCAGAAACAACCATCCTTTTCAGCCGGAGTTCCTCCAGCCCGACCCGGCTCCTAGCGAAAGCCTCGATCCATGGGTAAACGAAGCCTCCCCAGTCCGGAGGGACAAGATTGAAGTCAGCGAAATGAGGCTTCCCCTTGAGGGTAATCGATTTCAGCCCCGAGAATCTCTCCGCGACCCTCTCCGGCCCAATCGCATAACAGTTCCCGACGAACACCTTCTGCCGGCTGTAACTCTCGATCCTATACCACAATTTACAAACCTGGGACACCGAGTTCCTGTCTTTGTGGGAACCCACGAAATCGAAGATGTGCTCCAACACCTCGTCCGGGAAGTAATTCATCCTCTCTCTCGCCCTATCCTCTCCTTCAGACGGGCATCGAATCTGGACTCGACCCAGATCTAGACTTCAGCTTGAAAGAGAAACAGATCTGATAAGAAGGGGTGGGGAAGCTGGAATTAGCGAAGTGGGGGGATGGATGGAGTTGCGAAAGTCGAAAATCTTTTACTCGGGGGAAAGGGGAATCTTTTCTGCGAAATGGATGGATGATAATTGACTGAATCAGAGAGTGATTATTAGTACAACAAAAAAGGCGGAAAAAGGGAGGAATTTTTTTCTCCTATCTTTTGGTTTTGGTTGGAGGAAGGGTAAGCAGAGAGTGGAATAGAAATGGGATCTGGGAATCAAGGAGACGACGCCATTAAAGGTGGTGGGGGGCAAGGGAAATCTAGCGAGCTAGCCATGGATGAACGAATCGGGAGGAAGGAAGGTTGGAAGGAAGAAGGGAAGAGTCCAAAGAGAGACCCTCTCTCAAAGGAGATTAGATTCGTCCCAAGACACTCATATTATTTTTCCTCTTTTTCCCGGTCCTGAATTTCTCTTTTTTTTTTTCCCCTCTCTTCTTCACACAGTGTCCCTTGCTAAGTTGGCGGTAATGGTGGTGTCAGGGGGGAAAAAATGACATCCGCTGGGACAAGTATTTACGTGAGGTGCCACCTTTGAGGATAAGATTTTTTGGCCCTTTCCCTCCTTTTCTTTTTCTTTTAATCTTACCCGCGGGATGGACGCGCGTGTCATGCCACTCGCTGCCTCAATCTTCGACAACCCCATGTGGGCTTTTGGCCTTTGAGAGAGAGGGGCCGCCTCTTTTCTTTTCAGCACTGCGATACGCCGTCGTTTGACACGCTAGCCCTTGTCACTAGTGAATTTTCTCAGTTTAATCCTCGTACAATTTACACTGAAGAACTGGTACATTATCTTTGATTTTCTTACGTATTTTCCGGTGAAGTTTAAATAACTCGAATATAATAGCATGATAACAAAATATAATAGCGTTATTAGGCTAAAAAAAATTCATTATCATCCAGACTGTCTATATTAGCATGATAACAAAATATACTATGTAAATATGTCATGAAGATAAAACTAACTTATAGACGGTTTAATTTATGATTATACTCAATCTAAACTAAATACATTATGAAAATTTCATCACAATCATATTATTTTCTCAAGATCCTATCATCCAACTATCTGGTAGATAATTAGGAGATTTGTATGGGTCTTAAACGCATTAATTTAAATACATTTTGACACGTTAATATAGACTATTCTTATAAAAATGACTTGATTGACACGAACATAATGATTGTTTATGCATGTTATTGTGAATGATATTAACAAATTCATTAAAAATTCAAAGTTGAGTTACTGGTTTGTTAGTAAACCCACCATATGATCACTGTTAGGTAATTGACCCGTTAGTACTGTAGGACAGTATTGTACTACTGCATAGATCTGTTAACAATTATGGGCTTTCATCTTCTTCTTTTTCTTTTGTTTTTGCTTGCTTGGAGGGAGATGCTCTATTAACTCTTTTCTACTTATATTTATGTGGTAGATGTGGATAAACATATAAATATACTAATGATGACACTGTTGCATGTATGATTGCACTAGTGGGGAAAAGGGGGGAAATGAAAGAGAAGCATCAGTTCTCATAAATTCTAATAAGTGAAAGTAAGAGGTTAATCATTGGTTAATTTAATATAATTTTTACATTTACTTGATATATTCAAAAATATCTCCTTTTTTGTGTAATTTTAATTGTGATGGAGCATATATTAAGTTTGATCATTGAACGTTTTTATTTATCATTTATATACGGCTATTCTTGTAGAAATACAATTATTACAATTTTTCCAATCATTTTGATATATTACGTGTATATTAATGAAGGGTAACGTGTTAATATAACATACTATTTTAAGATGAAAGCACTACTTAAATGGAGTATAGGATGAAATACAATCCACATTAATCATACATGATTTGTGGGGGTTGACTAAGTGGATAATAGAAAGTAAAAACCAATAAGTAGTATAGGTAGGTGGAGGGGAGAGGCTTGATTATTGTTTCCCAATTTCCTTCCTATTCTTTTTCTTAGGGCTGAAAATTTGCTTGTTCCGTCCCTGACCCTATCTGATCCATTCCTGAAGGGTCAATGGGTCCATGTCTCCTTCTTGACCATGTCTGACTCTCAAGGGTTGGGACATGACAAGACGGTCCGAGACAGTGGGTCGACCCTAATCAACACACTATTTTTTTATTTTTACAAGTTAGTACCTAAACTTTTAAAACTTTACGAAAAGGTTCAATATGGTGTGAGATATTTGTTGTTGCTAAGGGTCACAGGGTCAAAACGTGACTCGTCCCTAAGTTGTCCCGACCCTTACAGGGTCAACAAATGCCCCATCCCTAATCTGACCCTGTAGACAAACTGCCTCGTCCCGACCCTTAGAGACAAGACGGGTCAATGAGTCTTCCAGGTCAAGCTTTCACCCCTACTTTTTCTTCTTCTTCTATTTTTTACATTTTTGGCACCACGAAAAGCTGACCAAACAACAAAAATAAGGTAGAAAAAGGAAGAGGGGTAGAAGGTAAAGGCAGTCTATCTACTTTTTAGTATGCATGTTTTTCCCTTCCCCCCCCCCCCCCCCCCTCATTTTTGAAGTGGGAATGATGAGGTGATGAACTGAAAAAGAAAACTTGAATTAATGATATCCATCCATTGTACTACAATTGAGACTTTGAGATGTCATATGAGAAAATCATCCAGCTTTGCTTTTATAGTACATTTCCCTACTTTTTTCTTAATCAAATTATCTCTAAACAAATTAGTTAAGATTCATTTACATTTTTTATCTGACATATGGATATTGGTCAAAATATATGTGTTAAAATTAATATATAGCAATAACAGTCAACGTGAATGTATGATTGATGCACAACGAATGAATTTTTTATAATTTCCTGTGCATACATCTTTGTTAAGTGCTAACATATTACTTGTTTTTTCTTACATGTTGAGTAATTCCTAATTACACTTTTATCATCATAACTGATAGTTATAATGCACCAACCCTACATACATTTGATTCAATGTGTCATTGTACATATTCAGAGCATATTGAAGAACATAATTAAGTAGACACCCATCTCTTCGTGCTGACGTTGACAATGGTAACTAATAACTATTAGCCCTTCTTTTACATGGCTCATCACATCCCAACTGTCCTATTTATTTTACCACTACTGATACCACACTACACAATGCGCATCGTCATCAACTGATCACTCATCACACTCCCTGCACACTCTGCCCTCCCTCCCTCTCTCCCTCACAGATTTGTTGGGAATAAGATCGCCATCACTCTCTACTACTTACATAATATAAGCCACTGTTGACGAACAAAGAGAGGCTGGAAGTTAATTTGATCGATGAAAAAGGGAATAAGTAACTCGATCGGTGAAAACTAGCTAGTAGTTACCCACTTACCCTGCTTTAATTTACGTCCTGCATGTCTTTGTATTTGAAAGAAGAAAGAGGCTTTCTTTCTCTCCCTTCCTTACCTTCTTTCCCTTTCATTTCCCCATGCCGTTTGTTGTTTTCCCTTTTGCTTTTGCCGACCACTTATCTTTCTGCTAAGTTAATTGGTTGGTTTGATAGATTATATTGGGATAATAATGATCTCTATACATATGAATATGATATGTGTCAATTTTGTCAATGGATAATTACCCTTTTCTCTTCTCAACTTAACACAAGGAAACTTCAACAAGCTACCTTCTAAAATAATTACTAATTTATGTTATGGATAAGTGTACAATTGAGCTGATTTATCTACTCACCAACATCTCTTATGTATCATTCCATGTTGTGTAGTTAAGTGATACATGATAAATATTATATTATCTTATACAAAAGTTTGAAAAATTAACGAGTGAGAATTCTATTAAAAAAAATATGCATGTAAAATGATAAGCAAATGATTTTGCAAAAAATAACAAACCTATTGACAAATAGTCATCTAAATATACTTTACTAATTAGTTATCCAACAAAAAGCATAATCAACCATTTAACGATGGTGCTTACACATTCTTAGAAAACTTCATACTTGAATTTGACATTGGAGTACCAATGTTGACTCTCTAATGCATAGTAGGTAGCTAATCAAAATCTGAAATTACCCAATGGCAGTCCAAAAAATCCCAACTGTAATGCACAGAAATGAGCCCCAATTATAATATATTCCACTTATGTTTGACATTGGTGCCTTATTTCCCCCTCCATTCCAATCTTTCTTTATCAAGGGTTTGGTACAAACAAAAGGCCAACCGTACCTTGGATTGGATGGTGCAAAAATGTGGGACAGTTGGAGGGTTTGTAAATTACCCCTTCCAACCCACACACCAGAATATATATATATATATATGGTGGCGTATTCGGTGCACCCACTTTTTCGGGTGCACTCAGTGCACCCGCCTCATAATTGTCATTCTGACCATGCGATTCATGTCAAAACGGTATCAATTGTTGCTTATGATATTATGAACAAGAAGCACACGAATTTGAAAAAAATTCATTCAAAATTTACTTTAATTTGAAGGATTTAGGATTTAGGGATTTAGGGTTAGGGTTTAGGTTTACAATTTGGGATTTTGGGTTGGGATTCAAAATTGAAGGTTAAGGGGATAGGGTAATGGATTGATTTGTTATGATTCTATGTCATATCATCATATTATATTGAGAGTACTAATTAAAGTTCAAAATTTGATGTATTATAGACGCTTTTAGAGTTGGGTGCACTGAGTGCACCCAAAAAAGTAAGTGCACCGAAGTAGCCACCATATATATAGGATTTTGTTTGGTAATTATCAACAACAAGAGTAACCAATAAGTTCTCAGCAGCCATATCATTCTCCAACGACGGGCAAATAATAAAGGTGAGTAAGCCAAACCCCAAATTTACTCACGGTTCCTCCCTTAATTTGTTGTGTTACTTTTTCCCCTTATGGAAAGTCTACAATGCGTGGAGTTCACCAAACCCTTTTATATCATGTGATTAAAAGTATTATGGTTGTGTGATATTTTCGTTCAATTTTAATCAGGATTAGTCGATGAATAGTTAATTGATCGTGCAAAAAAATAACGACAATTAGAAAATATAAGTAAATGGATAGTAAATCAAAAGAGCAAAGATTAATGGCTAGCTAGCCAATAGATAAATACGATTACAAAGTTTGTAAAACCACATCTCATTAGTTCTTTACTTTATGTTATGAATTTCCTTCTTGGGGATATTATAAAGGATTGAATACTTTATTTCCCACAACAATTGACTCGACATGACATATTTTGTTGGTATTAGTTAGGGGTGGGCATTGGGTGGGTCGGGTGGATTTTGACCATAAAATGCACCCACCCGCGCTTAAACGGATTGATAATTTTTAACCCACCACCCACCCACATTTAGTCTCGGGTTGGGTCGGGCGAATGGTGGATGATGCGGGTGGGTTTGTGGGTTCACCCACATCACAATGTATATAATATAAAGGAGTCAACTTGACATGATAATAGGTGAAGAGAATCATCGAGGGAAACAAGAAGTTGAAATATGACGAAAAATGTCGAATGAGTTCTTAAA